AAGATTGAAATCATACCACACATCTTCTCAGATCACAGTGGAATGAAATTAGCAATCAATGACAGTAAAAACACCACAAAACAATCAAACACATGAAGGCTAAATAGCATGTTATTAAACAATGAATGGGTTACCAATGAGATCAAGAAAGAAATAAAAAACTTCCTAGAAACAAATGAAAATGAATATACAATATCCCCAAATCTATGGAACAACAAAAGCAGTCCTGAAAGGGGAGTTCATAACACTACAGGCCTACCTCAAAAAACAAAGAAACAAACAAAACAACAACAAGAAAAATTAAAAAGAAAGCATTTAATCGGAAAAATTAAAGAATTAGAGAGCAGCAAGAAAAGCCCAGAGTAAGTAGAAGGAAGGAAATAATAAAGATCAGGGCAGAAATAAATGACATGGAGACTAAAAAAGCAATACAAAAAATCAATGAAACCAAGAGATAGATCTTTGAAAGGATAAACAAGATTGATGAACCTATAGCATGCTAATCAAGAAACAAAGAGAGAGGATGCCCCCAAAAATAAAATCAGAAGGAAAGTGGAGCAGTAACCACTGACACCACAGAAATAGAAAAGATTGTAAGGAAATACTATGAACAACTATATGCCAATAAGCTGGACAATGTGGAGGAAATGAAAAAAATCCTAGAAAACTACAATCTCCCAAAATTGAATCAGAAAGAATCAAAAAATGTGAATACGTCAATAACAACTGATGAAATTAAAGCAGTAATTAAAATACTCCCAGCAAACAAATGCCTTGGTCTATATGGCTTCACAGGTGAGTTTTACTAAACCTTCAAAGAATAATTTAAAACTATCCTCCTCCAACGATTCCAAAAAATACAAGAGGAAGAAACACTTCCAAGCTCGTTTTATGAGGGCAGCAATATCCTAATTCCAAAACCAGAAAAAGACACTACAAAGAAAGAAAATTACAGGCTAATAACCCTGATGAAAACAGATGCTAAAATCCTCAGCAGAATATTACCAAATCAGATCCAACAATATATTAAAGAAATAATACACCATGACCAAGTGAGATTTATTCCAGAGATGCAAGGCTGGTTCAATATTTGCAAATCAATAAATGTGATACATCACATAACCAAATTGAAAGGCAAAAATCACATGATCATATCAATAGATGCAGAAAAGCATTAAAAAAACCCCAACACTCATTTTTGATAAAAACTCTCAGCAAAGCGGGAAGAGAGGGAGTATATCTCAACATGATAAAGGCATATATGACAAATCTACAGTGAACATCATATTCAATGGGAAAAAAAGAAGTGTTTCCCCTAAAAACAGGAAAAAGAAAGGGATGTCTGCTTTTACTACTCTTATTCCACATAGTATTGGAAGTTCTAACCACAGTGATCAGACAAGAAGAAGAATAAAAGGCATCCAAATTAAAAAGGAAGAAGTAAAACTCTTATTATTTCACAAATGACATGGTATTGTACATAGAAAACCCTAAAGGCCCCAGCCAAAAAAACTACTAGATTTAATAAATGAATTTGGTAATGAAGCAAAATCCAAAATCAACACCGAGATATCAATGGCATTTTTATATACCAATAATGAATTCCCATAAAGATATATTAAAAATACAATCCTATTTACCATTGCAACAAAAAAATTAAGATACTTAGGGAGAAAAGAGATAGAGGAAGACATAAACAGTGGAAGAACATACCGTGTTCATGGATTGGTAGAATCAACATCATTAAAATGTCCATACTACCCAAGGCAATCTACAGATTCAATGCAAACCCTATTAAAATAACAACAGCATATTTCACAGAACTAGAACAAATACTTCAAAAATATATTTTGGACCAAAAAGGACTCCAAATAGCTGTAGCAATCTTGAGAAAGAAGAACAAAATTGGAGGAATAAAAATACCAGATATCAAGTTTGTAGTATCAAGATACTACAAAGCCACCAAAATCAAAACAGCCTGGTAGTGGCACAACAAGCATAGAGATCAATGAAACAGAACAGAGAACCCAGAAATTGACCCAAGCCATTACTCTCAATTAATATTTGACAAAGGAGGCAAGAGCACAGAATGGAGTCAAAACAGTCTCTTCAATAAATGATATTGGGAAAATTGGACAGATACATGCAAAAAAAAATGAAACTAGACCACCAACTTACACTATATTTTCCAATACATCCAATAAGGTCTTAATTTCAAAAATGTATAAGGAACTCATACAACTTAAAAAACCCAATTAAAAAGTGGGCAAAGGACCTAAATAGACACTTTTCCAAATTGGACATACAGATGCTCAAGAGACATATGAAAAAGTGCTCAGTCACTGATCATCAGAGAGATGCAAATTAAAAGGACACTGAGGTATCACCTCACACTTGTTAACAACTACCATCATGAAATCAACAAATGACAAGTGCTGGGGAGGATGTGGAGAAAAAGGAGCCCTAATACACTTCTAGTGGGAATGCAGACTGGTGCAGCCATTATGTGAAACAGTACAGAATTTCCTTAAAAAAAAAA